GTAGTAGTATTAGCAGCAGTAGTAGCAGTAGTAGCAGCAACATTAGCTCCAGTCCAGGCTAATTGTCACACACATTCCATGAATTGTTCTTGTGGCAGCAGTAATTGGGTGCGGTAGGGAATACCAGTGAGAAGTACTAGCGATTACTCAGCGTACTGAAATGACGCATATGAAGCTGTGGACGCCGACCTGCAGGTGCATCACATCCACCAGGACAGCTCTGGCATCCGTGTCCATGCCTGGCACCGCCGGTGGGCTATGGAACGTCTCTTGGCCCTGACATGGCCCCGAAATACACGTGCTACATACCCTTTGGTACCCTGTATGCTTTTAAAGCAAGCGAGGGTGCTACTGGGGTCCCCAACGTACGTAGCCCTTCCTTATCTCTGGCCACCAACAATGCTTACGCATGCCCCATTCATTTACTTGCGGTTCAGTAGTTTTGGGGGTTTGGGGCTTGCAGCCCTTCTGATAGAAGTTGACATTGGGGGCCATTGGGGGGAGGGGTCGCATTTCATCTCGGGGAAGGCGGCTTAGGTTTTAGGGCGGAGAGATACGCCCCGAATCTTCTACGCTCTGTAGCCCTGAAACTCAGACCGTAGACTACACCATTGACACGCTGAAATTGAAGAGCTTCCCAACAGAATCTCCCCCAAACCCTAGACCCTACACCCTAAGCCCAACATGGAAACCCTTGAAACCCGTTCAAGAGGATGGTGGTCTTTGCAGGGCCCGCCATTGAATTATTTAGCAAGAACTAGAGTGATTTTGGTCTCATCAAGGGAGAACCTTGCGCTTGAAAGTATAGGGGGGAGTAGTGGGCCCCAAACCCTTGAACGCCCCTGCACCGCCTGCCAAGTGTTCCTCTGTGAGCTCATTCCGAACCGCTGCCAAGTTCGCAAGCCGCGCAAACTTTTTGAATATCTCCTGGTTGAGGTTTACAGGTTTTAGGAACTTCAGAGATTTGGGGGTGTTTAGGGGGTTTGCATCATTGTGGGGTTCAGCGCTTTAGGTTTGGGGGTTTGGGTTTGGGGTCTGAAGGCTCGGAGTGGGTGCTGGGGTTGCGATACCACCCCGAATGGGTTTAGGGTGAGGGGTTTAGAACTAAGGGTGCAGGGTTTAGGGTCACTAAGCATGAACATTAACCACCCAAATCATCCTCGTGCTTGCTGGATTTCCCCAGTAATCCTGAACACGAAACCGCACGCGAATCCCACATAGGCGCCTAGGCAATAGCACTTTATTTACTTGTACAGCAGGTATATACGTTGGCATGTATTCATATGTACATATGTGTGTGTACATATATCCTTGGCAGCCATTGAACGCTAAACCCAATCAAGCATAACTACATATTCCTTATTGGGCTTTAGCAGGAAAATAAGAAACCCTAAACTAAACCCCAAACCCTAAATAATGAGAACTTGCTCATGATGTCTCCCAGTCCCAGAAACAAACGTGGAAGCTGAAGCGAACCCTTAGGGTTTATAGTTTAGGGTTAACCCTACGCTCTTTGTAGGACCAGGTGGATATGTTGCGAAGCGCTCGGTTTTGTCAATAATAGCTATATGAGCTATAGTCTACACTCCGAGTATCCCCCTTAAAAACCCCCATAAGAGTCCTCTATATAATCTCCTATATAACCCCCCTTAAGGAGTTTAGATTATAGCTCATATGAGGGACCATAAGATATTGCTTGGTTTAGGCTTTAGGGCTTTTCCTTGGGCTTTGCCCTCCCCAAGTTGTAGATAGCATCACGATTTTAGATTTAGGTCTCAGATCAGGTTTAGGGATTGAGGTGAAAAAGCGACTGTCTCATGCAACTCACTGGTGGTAAGTAAGGATGGAGGAACGCATTCTACAGTAGTTCCCACCAGACCTCGTGTAGTAGTCGCTATGTCCTGTTCCTACACTGCCCACTAACCACCAGAAAGTTTCAAAAATCCGTCCCCAGGCAAATTCCTGCACACCACCGTACAGTAGCCGTGCACTAAATCTTAGTGCTTCTTTCCCTTCTAATCAACAAGTAGTCGAAGGGAGCTATATGGGCGGAATCAATCAAACTTAGCGTCCCATTTTGGTGTCTTTAAATACTAAGCGCCGTATCGTATTTTGAACCAAAAGAAGCATTTGGAATTTAGAAACGGCCATTCTGGACAACAATACCCTATAGACCTACAGGAACCCTGAATAATGTCCCCAGAGGACCTTTAGAGCACCCCTTCCCAAGATATCCCCACTACACCACTTGAATTAAGGACCCCCAAATCTTTTGAGAATAGCCCGTATGGGGTTCATATTAAGTCGGGGCTGGCTGTCCCATGTCTCAGCCAGGGTGGATTTTTGGTTTAGGGTTTGGCGCTGGGGTGTTTCAGGTTTCTAGTTTGAGGGTTTTAGGATTTGGGGTTTGGGGTTTCGGCGTTCGGGTTGAGGAACTTGGGTTTCGGGTTTTAGGGTTTAGGGGTTTTAGGTTTAGACCGCAAGCTTCCGGTCTTTGCTGCGCATCTCTGATATGGCTTTCACGCGGGACACAACTAGGTACAGGTCGTGGACACTGAAGCCGCTTAGGGAATCCTACATGATGCCAGGGAACCTTATGTCCACCCTTCGTATTTTGCTGGTTTTCATGATAGTGATATTGGTTCCCCCTAAACCCTAAACCCCTAGATTCACCAAGATCATTCACCTCTCCTCAATGAGGGCGGTCTCCGCGATCGTCTCGTCGCCTTCTTCCTCCAGGTTGTCGTCCAGGCCTCAATGGTTTTTTTTGGTGGTTGAACCTAGTAAGATGATATTCCTTATATAAAATGCGATACCCCAAAAGGAGGATATAACCTTACTCTATATTGGGTACCATAATATCCCCAAATAAATGCTACTCATGTTTTGGCTGAAAAACTCCTGCATGACCCCAGCTCCCTTCTGCGTTGGGAATTATGCCATTCTAAAAGCCGTTCAGGCCTTTCAATATAGGACCAAGACATGCAAGGTTTTTAGTATCAACAGTACCAATGCAAGGCCTGTCCCCATGAAATGACCCCTAGATATGGCACCTGGTTTTAAATCTAAGGCTCCCCGCAACTGGACACACAACATATACACTCACCAGCATTCCTCAGGAACTCTAGATACACTTGCAAAATTTATTCTCCTGACAGAACCTCTGGATATCCTCGTAATGACCTCTATAGATCCCCTTGCTACTTCAGATCAAGAATCCAACGCCATCCTCATAGGGACTACGGTAGGGATCCTTTGCACATTCCTTACTACTCATCCGGTAGCAAGGAACACGAAGCACCCTAAACCCTAAACCCCAAACCCGCCTAAACCCCTAAACCCCTAAACCCTAGACCCTAAACCCTCAAACTGATAACTGGGGGTCTGACCAAACTGCTTCAGAAGGTCTGCAGCCATGCTCTTCACCATGTTCCTGGGGGATTCCCAGCTCCCCATGGTTTAGGGTTAGTAGGGTTTAGGGTTTAGGGTTTAGGGTTTAGGATTTATGGGTTTAGGATTTAAGGTCCAGGGTTTAGGATTTAGGGTTTAGATTCAGGCAATTCCTCCTCACAGTAACTGTCCCTAAAGAAGTTATATTACGGCTATAACTCCCATTACCTCTTGGGGTAACTGCTACTGTAAGGGAGGAAGACCTATGGTTTTCGGGGCTTGGGATCACCATTCCCGTAACCCTGAACCCTACACCAGCTTTGTAACAAGGTCTCGGGCTTTCGTCTTGCGGATACGAGGAGCCAAAAAAACAATGAGGCAACTTTCCACGAAGCTAGATGTGGGAGTTTCTCAAATAGACGTAGAATTAGGCCCCCCCGGGAAACCATCAACCCTGAACGCTAGGAGTACAGGTGGATTATGGAGTCCCTATGACGGAGTACATCGCATCATATCGAGAGTCCCCCAATCTGTAAAAACTTCCCCAAAACGGTACACCCTAAACCCGGAATCCGCATGGAGGGGGCACATACAACGGTTTAGGGTTTAGGAAGTACTTAGAGGTTCGTCGGGACTTAGTAGCAAGCCATAATTGGGGTTATATTCCTATTTAGAGTTGGCGAAGCCCACAGATGTCCAGTTAGGGGGATTCTAAGTTATATATAACTTATAACCCCAGTTAAAAGTAATGGCTAAGTCCCATGAACCTTCAAGCAGGGTAGGGCCCCCCTTTTTGAAAGACTCCCATTTTGCGTGGCCAATAGAGGGATTCTTGTTATCCCAACCCCTAGATAAGGATCCTATAGCTCCCATTAATATGACTATGAGCGGGTCCTGGTTTTAAGGATTGGGGTAATTAAAAATCCCCTTCTTACCTGCTACAAACACCTATATAACCCTGGTTCCCATTTCATTTTCCATATTCTGGACCATTTGATTCTCCATTATTGGGGTACTGCCTCTAAACCCGCCTAGTCTCTAACTACCTATATAACCCCTAGAGGCCCCTATAGAACCCTAAATCCTGAACCCTAAATACCCACTAAGCCCTAAACTGTGTACCCCTACACCGTCTCAACACCCTAAACCCTTATCCTTAAACCCTAAAAACCCCCTATAACCCCTATATGCGCTGTAGTCTAAACTCCTAGTATCCCCCTTAATAACTCTTATAGTAGTTCCCCATATAATCCCCTATCTACCCCCTTTAAGGAGTTTAGACTATAGCTCATATATCCGTACATAATCCCATCATTAGCCAAGGGACAGCATGCGGTCCATTGGTTGGACAAGCAGCCGGTCCAAAGCATGGCTGAGAATCAGGGAAACAACCTGAGTGTTCAGGATAGGTTAGGGTTTAGGGTTTAGGGTTTAGGATTTAGGGCTTAGAGTTTAGGATGATACAGGGGTTATATAAGGGGTATATAGGGGTTATATAAGGATAATGGAAAAGAAAATGGAAACGACTATAATGGGTTATATAGGGTTTGGGGTTTAGGGTTTAGGGTGTAGGATTTAGGGCTTAGAGTTTGGGGTGTAGGATTTAGGGTTTAGGACTTAGGAGTTAGGCTTTAGAGTTTAAGGTTTTGGATTTGGGGTGTAGGGTTTAGGATTTAGCTTTTGGGGTTTTGAGGTGTAGGGTTTAAATTTAGGGTTCAGGGTTTTGGGGAAAGGTTCAAGGTCTAGGGTTTAGGGAATAAGGTTTAGGGCTTAGGGTCTAGGGCTTTGGGTTTAGTTTTCAGCTCAGGGTTTAGGTGCAGGGGCCTCATTTTTTAAATCAAGCTTGTCTCTCCCCACCCCTAGTTTTCAATAAGTTTCCCAGTCGCGAATGAGGTCACTTACGAGGAATATCTTATCCTAGGGATGGGGCTTCTCAATATTCGTATGGAGGGACTATACTGAAATGCTGCGGTATGTTAGGATAGTATAGGGTTTAGGGGTTTTGGGGTGTCTGGTTGAAGGATATTACTCCAGTAGTGGAGAAGCACATGGAAAACGAATGCAACATGAGGTCTCTTTCAGTGTTCTCTGAGGGTAATTGAGGGGGTTAGGGTTTCGGATTTGTACTACATAGAGGCCTTTGGAACACCAACCATGCAGGCTTCTACATTAGGGTTTAAGGCCTATGCTTGGGCACATCCCGGCGCCTCAACAAATTTTCCAGTGAAGACTAAATGAGCTATAGTCGAAACTCCTAGTATCCTCCTCAACAAACGTAGAGTAGACCCCTATATAATCCCCTACATTAAACCCCTTGAAGGAGTTTAGAATACATAGCTCAAATAGACCCATGTTCCAGTTCTTTGCCCCTTTGGGTCTGCCCTCTTGGGCGGCAATATCCTTAAACCAGACACCCTAATACGACCCATACCAAAACAACCCAAAAGCCAAAAACCGAAACCCTTCAGGCTTTCGGGTTTAGGGAAATCCTAAACTCTAAACCCTAAGCCCTAAGACCCTTGATTCAGACAGGACACCAGCATCAACCCAATGACGAAGAGCATCAAGGCCATGTCTTGAGCGGACTCCACCCTAGGCTCATTTAGGGTTTAGGGTTTAGGGAGGGTTTAGGGTTTAGGGTGTAGAGCATTAGGGTCCCTTACAAGGGTTGTAACGTTATATTGGGATGCTAGAAGGATCTATCGGGGAGCTTGGCAAACCCAAACCGTAAAATTCAGAACCTCAGAACTATCCGAAGACTAAGCTCAAGACAGAACTCACTTAAATCTAGCAGACTCCAAAGCGCCACGGCTAAACCCCAAACCCTAAAAGTGTATTAGGGCTTGCGGCAGAGGGCTTAGGGTTTCGCAGGCCGGTCAGCGCATGGAAAAGCTTTGGGGAGTTTCTCAGACGGCTAGCAGAAACCCTGAACCCTATACTATAGATACTATAAAATACCATACTATACTAGAATATACTATAATATACTAGAATATATTGTTATATTTCTAATATATATTATGTGATATCTGTTCCTGAGGAGATTCCCAGAATCTCCTTATGTTCCCCACATATCCCTGCAGCCCTATAGAGCAACCCTGCTTTGGGAAATCGTAAACCCTAATCACTACAGGAAACCCAGGGGTACGTGGAACAACAGCCTGCTTGGCTAGTATAATGTCTTGTGGACTTGGTAGAACTACTTTGAGGGTTCACGTACACCCAAAAAGCCTAAGCCCAATGCCCTAAACCCTTAAATCCTGAACCCTAAGCCCTATGCGCTAAACCCTAAACCCTAAGCCGTAAACCCTAGATCCCAAACCCTAAACCCTCAATCCTCAACCCTATGCCCTAAACCCACAGCCCTAAGCCCTCATAAACCCTAAATGATTGCAGCAGGGTCTCTGCACTGGTCCCTTGAAGTCGAAGAACATCGATGCCAGAGCGCCGGCCTGACAGCCGGACCGCCTGGACGTCGGCAAAATGAAAGGTTGAGGGTTTAGGGTTTAGGGTTCAGGGTTTAGGGCCGGGACTCAGTCACCACATTTTCCCGGGCTTATAACTATGACCTTTCTTTTTGCCCGGTAACCTCTGTAAGTCCACCGAGGGGAGTTATACATAGGGTTAGATGCCCCCAACTAAAAGCTGTTGCTAAATCCAATGAACCTTCAAGTAGGGCTGCCCTGCTGAATTTACAAAGGCGGCTCCCTGAAGGACTCTACATGAGCTCAAGTCTAAACTCCTAGTATCCCCCTTCACAACCCCTGTAGTACTCCCCCATATAATCCCCTGTATAAACCCCTTTTAGGAGTTTAGATTATGGTTCACACGCATCAGGGGAATAAAGGGGGACATTGTGAGGGGTTCAGAATTGTGCTTACCTACGCTGCGGCAATGCCCTAAACCCTAAACCCTGAGCCCTAAAACCCTTCATCCTAAATCCTAAACCCTAAACCCTAAGTCCTAAGCCCTACCCTTAACCCTTAACCCTAAATCCTAAACCCCAGACCCTAAGTCCTAAACCCTAGACCCTTAACCCTAAACCCTTTACCCTAAACCTGAAGAAGCTGAGCCAAGGTACAGGACCATGCACTGATCCACCTGTCACGCCCATTGGACTTTCAGGCATATCTTGGGAATAATAAAAGGGGTTGAGGGTTTAGGGTTTAGGGTCAAAGGTTTAGGGTTTGAGGGTCATCTAGAGGTATGTTACCCCAATAGTGGAAACCCAAATGGAAGATGAAGTGCGAACTACTATCACTTGTTCAGGGCCTGGGGGCGTCGTTGTCCGTAATTAAGGTTTAGGGTTTCAATGCTTTGGGGTTCAGATTTTGGGGGCTGCCAGCGTGCACGGTTTTGGGCTTCTAGGCTGCGTAGACCCTGAAGCCTGAACCCTTGTAATGTTTAGGGTTTAGGGCCGTAAGGTTGTAGGGATGAGGAAATGACAGATTTGGGGCTGAGGTGATTCGCACTGATGAAGCTATTCACTACAAGAATATCAACAACAACCAAAATGACGATCCTAAACCCTTAACCTTAAACCCTAAACCCTAAATCCTTAGTGCTACACCCTAGTAGCTTCGAGTTTCTTTTCCATTATCCCTATATGACATCCCTAGCGTTCCTACTATCCCTCTTTTGAGACAAAACCGTAAGCCCTAAGCCGCAAATGGCTTCGTCAGGCCAAGTCGCAGAGACTCTAAAGATGCTCGAGATTCGTGCCTTGGTTGGGGTTTAGGGTTGAGGGTTTAGGGAACCCTAAACCCTAAACCCTGAGGGTTTAGGATTGACATGCAGGTGATCGAGTCCTTAGAGGAAACAAGTGGAGGGGGTTCAAATGGAGGGGGTCCCCCAAAAAGGGGTACCGTTTAGGGTTTAGGGTTTAGGGGGTCTCTGTAATCAGGATTAACGTTTGTAGTATGCGCTGGTCCACATTTGGGTCCCCATATTTACACACCGTGCTTTTCTTTAAAGAAAAGAGGGTTCTATGGATCCTACAAAGTGCGCGCATTTCAAGAACCTGCGGCGAAGACTGTCACGGTCAATTACGCGCTACACGCTATTCGCCCATTGTCAGCGCCACTACTGCCACTGTGGCTTAGGTTGCTGCTCTGCTGATATGATGAAGCCCTGCACCAGGTGATACGTGGCGCAGGGTTTACGATTTATGCAATACTGGTGAGAATGTGATGCGTGATACTTCTAGTGAATATACAGGTCATTTTGTCAAGCAGGGATGCCATGCAAATCCTGAGTTCTCCTGTGTCGATCCCATAAAGTTCTCTGACACCCATCTGCGGGGTCTGGGGACTAAGAGTAACATTCCCAAATCACCTCATTGATGCACATACTTAACCTAACTGATAAGTTCCCCTGACCCTGCAAAAAGTAGAACCTGTACACCCTACTGGATCCTAAGCCCTGAACCTTTAATTTTACATCGTACATTCTGAATCTCAATCTCCAAACCCTGAACCAGTCCTAAAACCCTAAAACCCTCAACTTTAAACCCTAAAACCCTAAACCCAAAAGCTTTAAACCCTAAACCCTGCCTTAAACCCTAAAGCTTGGATACTGCCCCCCCTGAGGGACCGGTTGGAAAATATTTATAATATGGCTATATATAGCCCTTAATGGGACCCCTAATATAGACTGTTACTGGGTGAGGGCAGTACCCAACCTAAAGCCTTCTCCTGTGGCTTCTTTTCAGCTCGAGCACCGGAACTGGCCCGCCAACAAGAGATGCTCCCAAGACCGTTATCGTGGCATTCTGCAGAACGACCTCCTCTCCGAACCTCAACAAAAAGTTCATGATTTAGGGTTGAGGGAGTAGGATTTAGGGTTTAGGATTTAGGGTCGAGGGATTAGGGTTCAGGGTTGAGGGTTGACGGCTTATATGGGGTCTGGGCGGCGAAATCTAAGGGCCGACAATAACTCAAGCGAGTAACAGGAACAGTGATACTCATATTGATGAGAGAGTAATGACAGCTATACAATAAGGGGGGTCTGCCTAAAACCTGACATGTCAAAAGCCTAGCCTTTGTTGATCTACATCAGTCTGCTAGTCTTGAACCGCCCAAACACAAGCACGTTCCGCAGAGTCCGAGTAGGATCTGCATAGCATTTTGGACCCTAAACCCTAAACCCCTAAACCCAGAAGGGCGCCTACCAGGCTGCGCAAGAGATAGCACGGTTTCCCAGACCCCCGAAAGGATCCAAAAAATGGAACCCCCCAATATGAACCCATGACTACATTGGGGAAACTAGGGAAATGTTACGGGGTTCCATCTTTTGGATCCTTTAGGGGGTCTGGGTTAGAGTTTTTGTGGGTGCGCTGCCATCAGCGTTGCTGAGTTTCCTGGCCCTCAAAGAAGTTAGCCTCTTTGTTAATAGGGTTTAGGGTTTAGGATTGAGGGTTTAGGATTCAGGCTTTAGAGTTTAGGATTTAGGGTTAGGGCTGTATATGCCTCAAAAGGTGTAAGAGTACCCACTCAGCTACGAAGCTATTTGCATCCAAGCGGCCCATCTAAGCGAAAGGGCTTATAGCCCTCGGTACCTCGGTAAAAGTTGCACAATTCAGCTTTACCACTGTAAAGCCTCATGCAAGCTGCACAGAATTTCACAACCTCCCCTAGAGAATCCCCTCATAATCCTGGGCTAAAAATTTGGGTCATAGTCCAAACTCCTGGTATCCCCCCTAGTAACCCCTAGAATACTCCCCTATATAATCCCGATGTAACCGTCTTTAAGGAGTTTGCACTATAGCTCACTTAAACATGGTTGCGGGGCACGTATGAGTATACAAGGATTGCTGAGGTATAGAAAAGGCTATATAGGCTTTGCGGGGGCGTATAAGCTTCCAGGTATGGGTTTATACGGTTTCAGGTGTGGGTTTCTACCCTAGGGTGGATGGCGGGAACCCTGCAACTCTTAAAGTCCCCAATAGTCAGTAGTTTTTTGGGCCATAGGGCCATGCGTAGCACGCGTACAGTCTTATTCTTGCGATACCAAGGCCTTACCAGGGTGGTGCAAATCTTCTTCCATGGAAGGTACGAATAACATGTCAAGCGACAACAAGAACTACACCCAAACTCAAAATCGCGTAGAAAAGAGAATGATAAGCAGAATGAGAGGCACAGGAATCATAAATTCGAAGGCGAGTTGCTGTAAAAGCTGATCATTTTCGATACCTTGTCCTGCCGGCGCACGCAGTACTGAGTCGCATGTGCCGAGATTTCACATGCCCTAAACCCTAAACCCCAATCCCTAAACCACCTCTACCGATTCACAGGCTATGATCGGGGTCAGATTCAGGGCTCTAGCATTAAATATACTTATTGTCCAACTGCTTATGAGTGGGGCAGTACCTCAATCATATTCTTAATGGTTTAGGATAGGGTTTGGGGTTCAGGGTTCAGGGTTTGGGGCCCTATAAACATTCATGTCTTACGGCTTTGTAACGGTTATTTTTTCGAACCTACCCCTGAGATGTGCAGACAATCAAAAGATGCAGTAAGACAGACATGTGTACAGATCATGATCAGGGCGGCCATAATGATAAGGGTTAAGGGTTTAGGGTTTTTGCAGATTACCCCGACCCATGTAATAAGGACCCTACTGTATAACGATCATATGACTGCAATATGGTCCTGATTTGAGGGGTTGCGGCTGGGGCATGACATAGGAGCACAAAACAAAAACCTTGCATCTAGAGGATGAGAGAAATGTCGAGACTTTTGGTGTAAGACATGTAGCATCGTACGTATAGTACCTTACAAAACCCTAGCCACCTGGCCCTTAAACCTTAAACCAAGAACCCAAACCCTAAAACCCTACACCTCAAACCCTAAACCCCTGACCCTGAATGCCTAAACCCCAAGGCCTGGAACATGGTTGCATTCGCGGCAGGCTGGTTGAGCTGGATGGACACCGTTTCACTGCCAGAGCTTTGGGTTTTGAGGTTTAGGTGGGTACTGCCCCCCCTCAGTAACAGTTGGATAATAGTTATAATATGTTTATATATAGCCCTTAATAGGACCTCTAATATGGACAGTTACTGGGTGGGGGCAGTACTCAAGGTTTAGGGTTGAGTGTATAGAGGTTTGGGGTTTTGGAGTTAGGGGTGTAGGGTTTAGGGAGTTTAGGGCTTATTGCAAGGGTTTAGGGGTCTAGGATTTAGGGGTGCCAGGTTCTAGGGTTTTGGGGTCTAGGGTTGTGTGCATCAGGCATCTGGGCTGCTGTTTATCCTGGTGGGGGTATGTAGCATGTACCCAACTGCAATCCTCTTATTCCTATAATGAAAATAGCGCTTTTAGTAATTCCTTAGGGCTATACCATAATAGAAATTACATGTAATTCCTAAGGAGGCCTGCCCGTACAGAGTCCCAGTTTCCATTTCATCTTCCGTTCTTCCACAAACTGTTTAGGATCCTATTCTATTCATATAACGGCAGCAGCATCAGCAAGAGAAGGCTTCTAGAACAGCCGGCCAGAATTTGCGCACCTGGCCGTCATCTGCCGTACTGCAGCTGATACTCAGAAAATGACCCAAAGTACCCTAAACCTTTGCGATTTAGGGTTTAGGGTTTAGGATCTGGCAGTTTGGTATTCCGGGGCCATGCGGGATTACCATTAGTCACGGTCCCTGCCAGCGCCTGAACGTGTACTCAAGCTCTTCCACCCAACTCTTCATGGATAGGTCCTGCCGCATTGCAACGTGCCGACAGAAGATAGGGTGGATTTCCACGAGGCCCCCAAATCGGACAGCACTAAAGCAGGACACTTACTTGGATGGTCTTGGGGTCTTAGACTTGGATGGTCTTGGGGTCTTAGACTTGGATGGTCTTGGGGACTTAGTAAGTAGGTTAGGAACCCCTATAACCCATATACTAACCCCAGTTATCCCCATTATTAACCTACTGACTAAGTCCCCCTGACCCTCCAAGTAGAAGGTACCCTATATGAGTAGCGTTTTTTGGTTGTTAAGCCTAGTAAGATAGTATTCCTTATATAAAATGCTATACCCCAAAAGGAGGATATAATCTTCCTGTATGTTACTTAGAGGGTCTGTCCTATCTGGGGGGCTTTACAAATTTACCGGCTTTTGTCCAACGGGGCCGGTTGAGTTCAGACACTGAAGGGGCCTAAATGAGCTATAGACTAAACTCCTAGTATACGCTTTAATCATCCCTATATTATTCCCCTATATAATCCCCTACACTCTGGGAAACTAACATAGAAACCCAAAAAGGGCCCTATAACGACTACAGTCTTTCTAACAGAGGGCTAAATGGGTTTCCATGTTAGTTTGGGGGAGTGTGTATAACCCCGTTTAAGGAGTTTAGACTATAGCTCAAATGACTACCAAGATCATTCTACAAGGAATCCAGGGCCACACTGTTGCCAATTAATTCAGGCCCTTATCTTACTGGTGCCAAGTCAGTAGGGAATAAGGGAATATGATCCGTATATAATCCATACCCTTAGTCCCTACTAACCCCCAGTGAGCTATAGCACACAACTCTGAAACCCTAAACCCTAAACCGGTGCCTGCTGCGGATACTGTCCGATGGAAAAGAGGGGCAAAGAGAACACAAGAACCTCGTGAGGATAGGCTCCGACGTCATGTAGGGTTCATAGGGTTTAGGGTTTACAGGGTGTAGGGTTAAGGGTTGAGGGTTTAGGATGTAGGATTTGAAGGTTTTAGGACTAGGGAGTCTAGGATCTAGGTATGGCCCCAATATAGGCAGTATGTAAGCATTAAATGGGGCCGTTATACGGATGTCTATTATGTAGGGATGAAGGGCCGCCAAAGCTGCCGATCCCTCTAGGACTGCCCCCAAGGCCCCGGAAATTTAGGAAGCTCCGAACAGGAACGCAATTTTTTAATAAACTACAATGTTCCAAACGAGACAGTTACATGTGGAAGCCGCTGCTTAAGCTGCTGAAATTCAAAGCCGGGTCTGCAGCCGCAACTTTGTTCAACAAAGTAGGGTTTAGGGTTTGGGGTTCAGGCTTGAGGGATTTAGGGATTGAGGGGTTTAGGGCTTAGGGATTTAGAGTTGGGGTTCAGGATTTAGGTCCCCTTCCGTGCCCAATGCTTCAGACGAGGCACGATGGTCAGCATTGAGACTGTGGTGGACCTCTGCAACGCAGAGATGTGACGCAAAACCCAAACCCTACCAAACCGCCCGGTACCCCTTTTATCAGGGGTTATCCCTTGTTAGGGGGTCCATTGAAGAAAGGTGTTTACATATTCGAGTCCTTAAAGGTGAGCCCTGTTCTCAGAAACCGCCAAATATGGCATATATATATATACATACGATCAAATTTGTTCGCCGAGTTGCAATGTGAGCATCAGCTTCGTTGATAGGACTTTGGCTTCTGCGGGTTTGTCTCTTGATCCCGAATGGTGGCTGGTGACGCGGTAAGACACCTCGGACGCAGCATTAATGTAGAGGCCTGAATAGTAGCCGACATGAGTGCCTAAATATCCGCTTGTATTTGTAACTAGTAGCTGTAACTACCGAACGCCTATTTGAAAGTTCTAGGCGCCTACACTATGCGTGCAAAACCCTGCCAAAATCGGTGCGACATCCCTTCAAGATGTTCTTTGCATGGTACCGTGAATGGCGGGAATCTCGCAGCGGGCTCTCCTTAATATCACAATACCAAGGGTTGGGTATAGGCTAAATCAGGTTTTGTAGGATTTCCTCCATCCACAGTAGTAGCC